CTAATCTATTTACATCAGGAAATCAGCTAAAACTAAGGAACAGAAAGCATAAATCAAGCTAATCTATTTTAATATACAAGGTAACAAACCGTGATAGTTACAATCAGGATCCTAACAAATTAATGCTACTCTAATAGTTCAACATCCTTCAAAGCTAGTTAAGAGTTTTTAAATATTTGATAAATTCTTCTTGGCTAACACTTTCCTTTTTTTTTTTTTTCTAAATAAGTCTTGACTTGACCCTTTGATATCAATGATATGTCTCTTTGGGTCACTGATACGGTTGCTATCATACTTTGTCACAATACTTGCCGGCTTGCCATTTCCCCATATTATAATTTTGAACTCAAGCAAATTCTTTCACATGTACATGCCAAATGCCAACCTTTCCTTTTGTTAATTCAAATTCAAATTTTGTAGATAATGCCTAGATAGAGATGTGAAATTTTGGATATCTCCACTAACTAATTACTGGATCAATTGATACGATAGATTATTATTTTTTTTAAAAGAACTTTGGACAATAAAAGAGAATTAGTTTGCTTGTAGTTATTGTGGATTTGTGACCCATCTATATAGGCTAGCTTTGTTGATTGCATGTTTACACACTCATACGTATTTGCTAAAATTCATAATGTCATGGTCACATTTAACCACGATACTTAATAATTAAAGACCCTTTCCTCTTTCATGTTTTCCCTCTATTTGCTTAACCACAAGAAGTAGACTGAACATGAAGATTTGAATTAGATGATAGTGAGTTGATGAGGAATTGTTAACAATATAAAGCAGGAAAAAGCACAAGTATTAGCAACCAAGACTACACTCATTTTAGTAATCAACACCATAATTGAGAATGGGACAAATTTGATGTCAATTTTTGTTTTCCTTGTTTATCTAATTTCCATTGGTTGTGATTACATTAACGTTGCAAATTTTGCCTTTATAAAACAATCTTTGTTTATGATGCGGGACCTGCAAAAGATTAACTTCTCAGAATATCTGTGTTTATTTATTTTTAATAATGATAAAATATTTGTGATTTTATTTAGATAATTCAGTATCTTTATTTATTTTAATATTTAGAGATAGCTATGTTAATTTGAGATTTTAATTTTTCTTTTCTTTTTTTAAGAATATTATCTTATTCATAGGAATCTTATCTTTAATGCTGTGTGACATTCATTTGCAACAGCCATAATTCTGTACTAAATGTCTGAGATGTGGGAAACTATCATATGTCCAAATGGTTTGCTTTGAATGAACTCTGAATTGTATCCTTTTTTTAAAATATCAAACACTGACGACAATTCAAATTAACAACCAAACAAGGAAAAAAAGGACTGGTGAGGATTCAATAACATTTATGATAGACACCAAGTGCAGTGTTGCAAAATGCAACAAGAGTCCTGTGACTGCATTTAATAAAAAGGGCCATTTTAATAGCTTTGCTCCTTACTATCTTTTAACTTACATCATAGTACCAACTGACAGATGTAAAATACAGATAAAGGGTGAAACTTGGAATTGATTGTAGATAGTGACTTAGGGAAACAAAAAAGTGTTTGTGCCAAGCATCTTCAAACATTACCTTTATATATATATAAAGTAAAAGATAATATTCTCTCTCTTATTTTTTTTTTCTATGATTTCATATTAGAGGTTTAATTGTGAAGAATATGGCAAGATGCAATTAGGAGTTTTTCAACATTAAAGATAGGTGGGGTTATATGTGCCTTTCAACTAATTAAAAAACTTAAAAACAAGTTGCCTTTAATAAATATTTTTATAATTGGTGGTATATCATATGAGGTACGTGAACAATGAATGGATTGATTACTAAATATAGTTCAGTTGATACATGAAAACTGAGTAGGTGAAGGTAAGAATATGTGTTTGATCTTTTAAACTCAGATTAATCCATAAACAACCTATTGAATTACCGGAAAATAATATCAAAAAATAAAATAAAAAATGAATGGATTGGTTTCGGTGAACCAAAGCCGAAAATGCCCCATCAAGAACAGTTCAACCTTACAATCATTTTTTATAACTTCACTCAAAATCTTCATTTCATCTTTTAAAATCTCAAGTTAATAAAAAAGTTTAAATTATAACCGCTCATGACACTAAGAGTCACAAATAGAAAGGGGAAAAAAAATTGTCACTAGGAGGCTTATTAGCATCAAAATAGACTAAAATGTACAACATATTGATTTCTCGTGAGAACGCAGCGTGATTTATCTGTCTTTCTCAGAGTAGTTTTTCCAAAGAAGAAAAATGTGATTTACCTTCTTCTTTTTTCAACAAAAATCTGTTGGCAGATTCAAACATCCCTCTCGATTATAATGCAATTTACCTTTAACTTTTTCTTTAGCCGATATGTTTTAGGGTTTTAATTTTTTCACGCACCGTGAGAAAATTTTCTCATACTACAAACACATTATGTGAGGTCATATCTATTAAAAAAATAAAAAATAATACGTGCAAATCAAAAAATCATTGACAGGTGAAAACAACTATCCTACGTCAGAAAATGTTTTCCCTATATTTTATTATGCAAACTTTTTTTTTTTATAAACTATTTTATGCAAACTTCAAATTTAAAGTTTGAACCATTTTCGGACTTTCACTTAATATGTTAACGTTTATTAGAACTAATAATGCATTTCTTCCATATTTAGGTTCGAATAGAACTGCTCAATTCTTGACTCTTTTTTTTTTTTTTTTTTTTTGTCGTTTATATCAACCATCTAGTGACCTACTTTCAGTATGTCAGTATGCACTTTTTACTTTTGAAATTTTATGATATTTTTCTAAAATTAATTTCATTTAAAACTTTAAAAAAATTCAATTTTTTATTATTTATCCTCACTCCTCAATTATTATTTTTTTCTTTACAAATTAGAACTCTTCTTTTTCACATACCAAAATGACTTATCTCTTTTTGTTTCTTTCCTATCCAAGTTAACTTTTTTAAATTTACTTTCATATATAGTGGCTCAACTTTCTAAAAAAATGATAAAGCAAAATTTTGGGAACACACCTTGTTTTATCAATATAGAAAGCACGTAGATGCAGTTAAATATTATCTTTTAAAAGGAGAATATGCATATAATAATAAAGTTGTAGATTTATTTTAATTTGAAAAATTAATTAGTAGTTTAAAAAATCATATAACTCCATATGTTTTCTAAATTTGTAATAATCTAATTACTAAAAAAACCCTAAAATAATTTAAAAAGAAAGATAACATGTCAAATATAAAAATATTTAGATAGATTTTTTTCTTTTGGAATTCACTTTTTTCAATATGTAAACCTAAAAAAAGGATACATTTAATTTTTATTTACATAAAAAAACTTTTATTATACTAGCATCAAACTATCAATTCTTTATCCTCTATTATTCAATAAAAATAACTTCAACGCAACTGAGTTGCAGTTTTTGATAAATAATTTATGTCATACGTAATTTTTCCCTTTGAAATTTTTATACATATTCTATTATTATTATTATTTTTTAAAAGTAGTAAATTTTTGTATTTTTTTTTTCAGGTATGTAGGATATATTCGACCAGTTTCAATAGGTTTGAGAATAAACAGGTTACGTTAAAGGGTTTGAAGTTTGTGCTTTTAAAGGGTATATAGTTATGTTATTTTAACTGAGAGAAAGACACAAATAATAAAAATCATAGGGAATTTACGAAAAAAATAATAATAAAAATCATAGGGAGAGAAAGTGAGTGATTTTATAATTTAATTTTAAATAAAAAATATTAATTTATATTTTTCTTTCACTTAAAATTATACAATTTTATGTCTTTTAAAATGATAGATATTTTTCTCATGTTAAATCATAATTTTATTAAAAGTTGACACTTTGTTTATAATTTCTCCCGTTTATTTACACATTTGTTAAATTTTATACAATAATGATATAATTTATGGGAAATAATAATTTTATGTGGCATGAAATTATTTTCTCATGCACTATATACAAATTGAACGTGAGATCCATTTAAATTTTTTTTTTCCACTCCATTATTCTCTATCTCATATATGTGTAGGAGATTGTTTTTCTCTTAAACGAGAAAAACAATCCCCATAAATTATTTGAGTCCATTAAGCTCGCTACAATGTTGAAGGTAACTGGAGGAGATTCTGCATTAAATAAAAAGAACTAAGAAAAGAATTTTTTTAAAAATGACTAAATAATAAAATAACCTGATAAAAAATTTAAAAGATAAAGATATAAATAAATCTAGTAAAGATATAAATTTATCTATGTGTATAGAGTTCATGTTTTCTTTTTCTTTCTCTTCTTACATAAATTCATACGAATCCCATATATATATATATATATATAAAATAAATAAGAAATTTTAAACCGATGTATTAAATTATCAATTATCCCACCGAACGATATGCGTATAACTATATGGATATGCAGCATTTGAGACAATATATTTTGCTCGAAGCTACATGACAAAATATAATAAAAACTTTAATTCACATAATTAAAGATATAAAGACTTTTGTGTCCATGGTTCCATTTAATAATTATAACAAGCATATCAAAACATATTTTATTTGAATAACGTATGCTTGCATGTAACTTGCGTCAGGCGTTACATAAAGCCAAATCATTTACGTATGACAGCAATTAACCAAAACCCCTTAATTAATTGTCCCTATCTAATAATTTCCATCTTCAAAACAGTTACTAACTTCATTACTTTATTTTATTTTAAACTAAAACTGACTCATGAAAACACTCATAAACACAAACCCATTTATGGTAATTTATTAAAATAAAAATAAAAATAATGAAATGGTAAATAACTTTGAAGAAAGAAAGTTCCAAATCTTTGGTTTTCATGAAATGGTTGCGTGGAGCCAATTTCCACTCTGTCAGACAGTGATGACCACTCTGCCTTTTCACTCTTATGCTTTTGAAACAGGTTTTGCTTCTTTGGAACACTGAAAACATGTGTACGACCAAAGCCATTTTGCTTCCATTTATGACATCCATAATCTTTCAACGATCTCAATGTCTCTCAACATTACCTATTATTAAACAAAGCAAAACCATTGTTCTTGTTTTGTAGCAAACACAGTAGTACTTCTAGTTGCTACCTACCCCTACCCTTCTCACAAAAACTCACAAAAGTCAATGATGCACCGACTCCTTGTGGATCTGTGTCTCTTGCAGCTTCATTCCCATGGATGAAACTTCTCTAAACCTTCCTGGGTCTTCACCAGTTCACCTTAAAAGTAACATTTTTTGGATTGTTTTTCTGGGTTATGTTTTCATGGTTTTGGGATTGGTGCTGCTGATAATGACAGCTGAAGAATTTTTTTTAAGGGTAAGTACTGCATGAAACCATGAATTCTGAATTATTTTTTGTGTGTGTTTTTGGATTTAACTGTTTTTTTTTTTTTTGGGTTTTGAAGATGAAAACAGAGAATGGTGAATGTTTGGTTTCGTCTACTCTTAGGAAGAACAAACAGAGAGTATATATTTTTGTTATCCAGAAAAGAAAATTTTGGCAGAGAATCACTAAAATATTTCAGCTTGTCAATGGATTCATGAAAATTATGACCTTTTGTGATTAAAGTTCGAGTTTTTGGGATCATTACCAAGTTATGTCCTTTCTGATTTCAGATTTTAATTAGTTACAGATTTTCAACTCTTTGTCTGTGCATGTTTCAAGAATCTAATTGAAAACATATGAAAATAGTTCAATTTTCAAAACTCAAGGGTTAAATGATCAAGACTTTTTGTTTGTTTCTATCTTGATCTATATCTGGCTTTTAAATGGATTTGATTTTTTGATGGGGACTGATTAATTAATTGCATATGTTTCAGTAGGACAAACAAGTATTATTTTTGTCTGATGTAGACAAACTGTGGTATCCAAGAGGACAAGACCATGTAAGTATTCTTTAAGATTTTAATAACAATTGGTGTTTGTCTTGGTTGTTAGAATACAATTTAGCATCTCAGTTTGTTGATGAAATTTCTGTGACAGAATATACCCCAGGACTCAGTCATGTATAGACCATTCATGTCATGTGATGATCCAAAAGGAGTTGTTGACTGTGGGGCTATGAGGAAATACAAGACCAATTCTCAGAAAATGAAGGACAAGACAAAAAGCCGCAGGACGGCCGAAAGCTTGGAGACATCCTTAACAAACAAGCCAGACAAAGAAGAGAAGGTCTCAAAAGGATCAACAGAAAGATCTTTTGATCAATCATCCTTGCAGCTCGTGGAAGTATCAAGAGGGGCTCAAAGGTTGAACAACATGATTGATTCATGGTCTAAGGGTGTGAGGTATGATGGAAGGTCTGAAGATATTGCAAAAGATTTGTTAAAAGGGGCCCTTGATTTGCAAGAATCTCTAGTAATGCTTCACAAGGTACAAGAAGCTTCACAACATATGGCTCGTTCGAAGAGAAAACAAAATGAGAAAGCTGAAAGGGGCAGAATTGATGCAAAGGTGGTTGATAGGACAACACATTCTGATCATTTTGGTGAACAATGCTATCCAATGGGATATCAAAGACCTTGGCCTTCAGCTGATGGTTCTTCAAGTAGTTGCACGGAGGAACTTAAGAAAGTGATTAAGGAGAGTCTGGTTAGACAAAATCTATTGCCAGGCACAATCACTGAACGATTGGATTCAGCATCAGTATTTCCTTCTACAAACTCAAGCCAATCTTCTGGGGCTTGGAATGACATGCTTTCGGATTCTTCTTTTTCACCATCAACTTCAAGGAAGGAAAGAGGACCCAATCTGGTTGCCAAGCTGATGGGTTTAGAAGAAGTCCCCTCAAGATCATTTCCAACTGTTCTGCAGAAACAGTTGGAGAGTCAAAAGATCATGAATCAGAAGAGACCTATATTTGAGATAGATATGCCCAAGGTAAGAAAGAATGGTTTAGTAGTTGAGAAGGTTAATCCAGAGCGACATAAGACCCTGAGGGAAATTCTTGAGACTACTCATTTCAATGGACTTTTGAAGAAGAGTTCTGTCAGAGAGCCCAAGCTTAAGGTCCTTCATTCCAATTATCACCATTATAAACAGTTTGGTGATTTACCACCCATTGTACTTATGAAACCTCGATATACTCCACACCATGAATTTGTGGAAACTTATGATCCAGTTCCTCCAGAAGAATTGTCCCTTAGAAATCTAAAAGCAAAAGCAGTCCCTTCCAAAAAGTTCAAACACAGAGAAGGTTCAACCACCAACATGGGAAAAGAAATGGAAGAACATGTATCCAAAAGGCTTATCAAAGAGGAAAGAACTAAGCGTCTCAGAGAGGTTGTGGAACTGGATGCAAAAGAAATCAAGCCTATTGAAAATGAGAAGGCTCCTAGAGGTAAGGTAAAACTGTGTGGTCATGCTAGTCACAAATCACAAGTAAGTGAAACAGTTGTTAAAAAAGCTAAAGCAAAGACCAGTACCATTAGCAAAAAGAAACCAGAAAAGGAGATCTCAAAACCTGAGGGTGTGACAAAATCTCAAGATCAAGGAGAAATCAGCTCTACAATTACAAAGTTGAGGAAGCCACAAAGCGGGTCCAGAATTGATAAGAATGAGATTCCCTGCAAAAAGAGCACTGCTTCAAATTCAATTACCATCTCAAAACCAAAGAATAAAAAATTCAATAATTCGACGGAACAGAGAAAGAATCAGACGAAGAAGCAAAGGTCTGTTGCTGAGCCTGAAGCAGCTAAACCAGTTGTAAGTCTACTTTTGCTGTCATTTTTTTTGACTCTAGGAAATGTAGCAGTGTTTGAACTATCTTGTAGAAAATAGAGTTTCGGTTAAGTAATCCATGAATGAAGCAAGGCCTTCAATCTGAGTTTTAATTCGCTATTCTTCTGCACAGGATGAACAATTAGGTCAAGAAGAAGAAGGAAAGATCATCAATGTTTCTTGTAAAGATGATTGCACTGAGATTAGAATAATCACTACAATAACCGATGATCTCGTAACGGTGCATGAAGTAGATGCCTCAGCAGATAGGATTAGAGGTAAATTTTTCAAGTTTTCACTGGTGCCACATATCAAAGTTAACTAGGTTTTGCATGTAAAGTTGTGTTATGAAGGAAAAAAGAAGTATGGATAGCAGCACATATATCATTACGCTGGGAATAAATGTGTAGCTTCTTCATGAGTCATGATATAACAGGTATATTTTATGTGATTTATTTCTCCCTTTTTGATACATTGCAGAAAATTGTAAGCAGTTCCAGAGTTCTTCAGGTGATGATATTTTGATGCTAAAGTCTGAGCATGAAGATGATGCTATCCCTACTGAGGAACCTGATGACAGCACCAAAATCCGTGAAACCGATTGCAAACCTGACAAAGACATTGCTGAGCTGAAATATTTGCTTCTAACTAGTCAATCATTTGTTGGTCATGCAGAGGAGCTCCTCAATCTTGATGTTGATTGTCCTATTATCCTACCAAAATATGAAACTAATGTAATAGGCAATGTTAGACTCCTCTTGGATTGTGCAAATGAACTCACTGAGCGTAAAAGCCTTCAGGAGTCACAAGTAGTTCACCCTTTATTGGTAACTTGCACAGGGAATTCAAGACTACACATCTCTTTAGGCAGGTTGGTTCAAGAAGTTTATAATGCCATTGAGAATCTGACATCATACAGTGAGAATTCTGGGAAGAAACTTGCTTCAGATAGTATATATGCAATGATGGAGAGAGATATAAAATGCAACAATGGACTGATAAATGGAATATGGAACTGGGGTTGGAAGCATGGATTTTCTGCAGATGAAGCTGAGCAAGTTGTCAATGAAGTAGAGAACCTAGTGTTATGTGGGTTAATTGAGGAGGTAATTGTAAATTTATGATTACATATTTTGAGACATGGATAATATACAGCCTTTAGATATCGGCATCTTCAACTTGTATATAAGGACTGATTGAATTGATACAGGGATAGAAGAGTTGAAAGCATTGGCTGCAGAAGTTGCATGATTTTGATATGAAAAGTTCTAGTTCTAGAGTAGTCATAACTTTGCTATGAAAAACTCTAGTTCTAGAGTAGTATAACGGGGAAGGATATACTTATCACTAAAAAAGTTTACCATATCTACAACCAACTTAATTTCTGTTGATTTCCGTCAATCTAATGATTATAATTTATTGTATTTATTAGAAATTAATAATTAATTAATAAATGTGACCCAATAATTTTCAATAAATTATAACCGTTAGATTGACAAAAATCAACGGAGATTAAGTTTGTTGTAAAGATGGTAAATTTTTTTGGTGGTAAGTATATCCTGGCCCGTAGTATAATACTTATACATATGATTTATCTATAGTTCATTATTTGACATTACATGTTAATTTCAAGCAATTGAAAATGTGCAAGAGAGGGGAATCATAGTTAATGATCATTTGGTGTGACTTCTACCAAGTAGTATCTACTATTTTTTTTTCCCCATGCATTACCAACTTTATTAGCCATGGAAATAGTGTAACAAGAATACATTTTTACAATAAGGGAAGAAAGCTCTGAATTTTTTTTTAATCAAATTTGAAAAAGAAAGTGGAGAAAATGAAGATGGGAATCAATTGCATTCTCTTCATAATGATTTAACTTATTAGTTTATTATTTTCTCAAAAAAATAACTCGTCATTCTTAACTTATTTTTTTCCAAAAAAAAAGTATTTAAATTAATTACTCAATTTTTAATAATTTCAAATATTTTTCTCTTAATTTATTTTTTGTTAATTTTATATAAATTTAAAAATATTTGTTACACGAGGTGCATACAAATGCAAAAGTTAACTTGGTTGTCATAATCCAATTAGCAAAATGTGAAGGTAATCCATTGACCCGAGAAAATGAAATATGTTCTCGTGGGTCGGTCACTACTCTTACGTCAAAAGCAACTCTAAAATATTGGTTTGTTTATCCTAAGATAATTATTTTTAAATTACGTGGTTTCAAGGAATCGAGAAAGGTGTTTTGATAGAATTTATATAAAATAAAAAAAATACAATTTTTAAATATCATTTCTTAATTCCTTCGACCCTTAGATTGTAACAGATAATTTAGGACCTATTTGGAAGAGCTTGTAAAAAAAAGATTTTTTATTTCCTATTAAAATCCGTTTAGATGAGTTTTTTTTATTTAAAAGTTTTTTTTTAAAAAGCACTTCTTATTATAAATTTGTTTGAATGTCTAAATCAAAAGTTATAAAAAAAATCAAAAAATTATTTTTTTTAAGCTAAAAATATTAAGTTCTAAAAAAAGTAAAAGTTAAAAACCAAATATTTTTTAAAAATTTAAATAACTTTAACTTTTGTAAAAAACACTTCTAAAACAAGCAAGAAATAAAAGCTACTTTTTTAAAAGGCCAAACAAATGAGCTCTTAGTTTAGAAGTGTTTTTACAAAAATTAAAGGTATTTAAAATTTTAAAAATATTTGATTTTTTAAAAAAATGTTAGCTTTTGACTTCTATGTTTTTATAAACTAAAATTTTTCGCTTTAAAAAGAATAAATTTTTTTAACTTTTTTGTGACTTATATTTTTTTTTATTAAGCAAATATCCAAACCAATGTTAATAAAATCGAATCGACCCGGGAACCGGTCATATAACCGGTCCGGGTGAAGCAACCAACCAGCCATGCATCAGAACATGTGCGACTCGGCCGATTTTCGTGAAAACCAGTAACTCGGCCCAATCCCAAAAAAAAAAAAAATTCCAGATTTTTTTTTTCAAAAAAAAATAAATCATAATGGACATATTTGAGTATTTTTTGCTTATTGACTTACATAAGTTATGTGTTTACAACACTAATATTATCTCAATTATGCTCTATGCAGAAAATTCTGATTTAATTTATAGTTAGAGATATCTTTTACTGAATCTGAAGTCCCGTATCACGATTATTATATTTTTGTTAGATCCTTTATTGGATAATAATGTGTGATTTATTATTTTTTATATTAAAATATTTGAAATTTTCATCATTTTTTTAGATATTTAAGTATGTTTATAGATTTTTTAATATAAATTATAGAATTGCATATAATTACTTGATATAATTATTGAGTTATGCGATTCAACCAGTGACCCAGTAACTCAATACCTCAGCCGAGTCAACGATCGAACCGATTTTAATAACATTGATTCCAACAAATTTTGTAGTAAAAAATACTTTAAAAAAAACTTTCGAAGAAAAAAAAAAGCCCGCCTTAATCTCCACTTTCCCCCTAAAATGTATTGAAGATTATAAAAATTGCAAGAGGAATGAGTTAAAAGTTATTCACATTGAACCGGAAACGACGACGTTCCAATATTATAAAAAGCATAAATAGGGTTTTTACCTTACGCAAAACACACTGCAGAAGCTGGAGTTTCGCTCCCACCTCTCAAACCCCTGTCTCCCTTTCTGGCCAATCCCTCGTGGAAATTCAGGTTCTATAGCAATACAACCTCGTGTATACTGTCACATGATGTTTGACTCGTCTATTCTCCACCCTTTTGATTTTAATGATGTGGTAACTTGCATTGTTAAGGTTGCTTTTAGAAATTAGTGTGATAGCTTCTTATTATAGATTGAAGGTTTTTTTGTGTGTGTGTGTGTGTGTATCTAATTGGCTTACCCCGTTATTTATAGATAGGATTACCTGTACATAAGAGAGTTTGAGTGTGAATCGATCTGTTAGGGAATATGATATTAGACCATATCTCTTAGATATATGAGTTGTTTGCTTATCCTAGTATGTTGCTAGTTTGTTATTTGTAGATGTTGTGCTACACTACCCATTGGGGTGGGTATATAATCATATGCCGGCATTGTTAGGTGACCTTGACTTAGGTGCTTAGGTTTAGGTCTTGGAGATGCTTCTCAGTCTTACATGTTTGCATTTTTTGCTCATGGTCGTGTAAGAGCCTTGGGCCATCCTTACGGCCGATGCCGCCTTTTTCACGAGCCACTTTTTGGTTGTTGGAGATCATTGGCAGCCTTCTTCACATTGCGTGCCTCATAATAACTATTAGACAGCTTATGTCATTATGTTTTTATTTCCATTTTAATCGCCTATCCTTTTATCTCTTGTTTTTACCCACCCTACCACACTTTGTTTTTTGCATTCGATAGATGGCTCAACACGGTCAACAATCAAGGAAACGAATTAATCATACCTGGACCGCGGAAGAGGACAAAATACTTGTGGATTGTCTTCTTGAAATTGGGCTAGCTTGGAAAGGAGATCATGGATTTAGGGCTGGATTTGCTAATCATCTGGAGAAGATGATACTTAAGAAGATACCTCGTTGTACATTGAAAGCTAGCCCTCATATCACATCAAGAATTAAGCTGTTAAAAAAACAGTACAATGCCATTTGTACAATGATGGGGCCTATGGGTGGTAGTAGATTTTGTTGGAATGACAAGGAAAAGATAATTAAAGTTGAGAAAGAAATCTACGATGAATGGGTGAAGGTGAAATATAGTGTTAAATTATGTATTCAATTCTGTCAATTTATTTTATAGTGTTAAATTATGTATTCAATTCTGTCAATTTATTTCATGAGCATATTTGATTTTTCTACTAATGTTAACAATATGCTTATTTTGCAGACTCATCCTAATGCTAAAGGGCTTTACAGGAAGCCATTCCCTTACTTTGATCAATTAGGTGTAATCTTTGGCAAGGATGCAGCTAATGGAGATAATGCAAAGGGTCCAGAAAATGCCATTGGAAAAATGGACAAAGAAGCTGATGTATTTGTTGAGAGTGGGACTGGAGCAAATGATGTCTTTGATCTCACGGGAGACACTCCACAAACAACTAATTGTGATCCAATGCTCGACAATGCAACTCAAGAGGGTGTGGAACATACTCCTGTGTCTAATTCTGTTGTTAGAAGGGCTAGGAAAAGAGACAGAAGTGAGGAGGAGGCATTGGTTGAAGTGGTAGCTGCAATGAAGAAGCTTAGCCAGGCTTACCAAAACATTAATGACAATATCCAGCGGTTGGTATCGTGTTTTGATTATCAAGCAGAGGGAAGCAACAGAAGGATGTCTCTTCTTGAAGAATTGAGAAAGATTGAACGATTGAGTGTGTCTCAAAGGGTTCACGTTGCCATGATCATGGCCAAGGACGGTTATATAATAGATCTTTTCATGCAAGGCGATCATGAGGAAAGAGATTGCTTGGTGGCTTTGTTATTGGCTAAGTCTTTGTAATTGAGTACTAATCTTTTTGGAAGCCTATAGATGTATATGGCTGTTTATAGTAAACTTAGATGATTTTGATGACTAGTTGATGATCTTAAACTTTGTTCATCTTAGTCTTTTTTGAAGCATATGTGGATGTATATGGCTATCCATATATGGTTGTATATGTACAGCCTATTCAAAGACATTTTAGTTATGCAAAATATGATTTTGTATGCAGATTAACTTTTCTGATTAGTTGATGACTAGTCTAATTATATTAGTGAGACTTTTGTATGCAGAATTTTGTATCCATATATGGTTGTATATGTACAGCCTATTCAAAGACATTTTATTTATGCAAAATATGATTTTGTATGCAGATTAACTTTTCTGATTAGTTGATGACTATTCTAATTATATTAGTGAGAATTTTGTACGCAGAATTTTGCTGATTAGTTGATTAATTTTTCTGGTTAGTTGATGATTATTCTGATGCAACAATTTGAGGATTCTAGAATAACATATTCTACTTTGTTGATAAGGTTTGTATTGCTTATGCTGACGTCTGCCTTGGGATGTAATTATGTAAACATAGAGACATTTCTTTTAGGCAAAAAAAAATATAGCTCTGAATCAAAATGTGATTTTAATATTTTACTCATTTATGTATTTAATTTGTTAAAGTTTTGCAGTCACGTACTTAGGGAAGCATACTCACACCCACAGGTCCAGGGCATTGTAATGTGGACCACATGGTCACCACAAGGTTGCTATAGGGTTTGCTTAGTTGATAACAATTTCAAGAACTTGCCTGCATGGGATGTTGTGGGCAAGCTGCTTAGTGAATGGATTGTGTTGAACGCATTGGTTTTGGGGATTTACTTGTAAGTTTCTTTGTTTGGCTTCTTCTTATGTGAATTGATGAACCAATCAGGGATGGTATAAACATTAAAAAAAAAATGATGGCAGCTCAGTTGACACTAGAAAATTGAGCAGTTGAGGGTGATGACATGTTCTCGATCTTCACCAATATTGTATCTGAGAGGGATTTAAAATCTTAATACGAGATTTACCCTGAATCAGACAAGTCCTAAAGCGTAAATCGATTGGAATATCTTTAAAAACAAAAAACAAAACAAAAAATAGTCATAGCAAATTATTAAAAAAAAACAAAAGGGAAGAAATGAATGAAATGCAAAGAGCATTTTATGGTTTGATTAATACACTTCAGATAGGATAATTAATATGAAATCTAAAAGCTCCCATTGATAACGTAGGTATGGACACTCTTTAACCTCCCTCTCCTCAGTAGTGCATAAATGTTCCGTACTACAACATATATGTTCTGCTCATACATGAAACTTCAAGAGGAGGCTCCCTTATAGATAAGAAAATTAAGGGTCTCCACAGCAAAATATATAAAAGTCCCTGGTGAATGGCTGAAAAAGCACCCAAAATTGGAACCCACTACACATTGCCACTGGCCACTTCCATACATCTTATCAAACTCCTGAAAAACCAAACACAATCCTATTTAACTAAGGGAAATTAATTAAAATCAAACCCATAAAGCAAATTAACATTAAAACCACAATTAATGGTGAACATTCAGTTAAAAAAAGAAAGAAAAGAGTAAAAGTGATGCACCTTCTTGATGTGGCCTGCAATAGATATGCTGTCACAAACATCATAGATATCAAGGGCCTGAGAAGCAGATGACATGGCTTGAATTTGCATCTTCAAAGGCATGTCTGTTTCTTTCACCATAGCTTTTCCTTCCAACATCTTATGTTGCCTCTCTCCTAGAAATCCCAGAAATAATTCCAGATTTTCTCCTTATTTTTGTTCTATATATAAGATTATGTACCAAAAGATAGTGTAAGAATTAATGGCTAAGATTTTGGCAGCAGAAACTATGAAAGAACACCCCAATTCACAAATGATGCAGCTTTGAAGCTCACCTTTCAATAGTGATACATTTGGAATGAGTAATTGATGAAGGAAGTTGCAACACATTGAGAGCAGCACATAACCCCACCTTTATAAGTAGCTATCTTGTCTGCATTTGTATTTGTCGAATCCTTCTTCTCCTTCTCCATTTACTAATGAAGCTCTCATCATATTCAGATTTTAAAGTTGAAACTTTTAAGGCAAAAAGAATTCTTATATTGTAGGAATTTGGCAATCGAGAAAAAATAGTTATATATTATAGATAGTACATAGTTATAAACTCCTGCCAAAAAAAAAAAAATGTCCTACGGATAGTACATAGTTATAATATTAAATTTTTTTGTTCATATCTCTTATAATTATGTACTACGCGTAGTACATAGTTATTTATTTATTTTTTTACAGAAATTCCTGCAACACGAGAAAAAAGGGACCCAAACTTAAACTATATAATTTTTTTTAATTATCTAAGGAAGAAAGTCTTTTTTTCTTTTGTCTTTTTTCAAAAATAAAGAATTGTTTTATATATTTTGACCAGGGCAGAAAGGATCGATAATCATATATTCATATTTATTAATTACTAAATCTCTCCATGTATTTCTTTCAATTAAATCATGTTATAATAAGAATTTGTTAAACTAGAGTTCTAATTTCATAGACAAGAAAATTGACCAGTGCTTAGAGCAGCCAAATGTTGATGATACCCCTGTCCTAGAGTAGCACACCAACGAATTTTAATGTCTGACTTTTTCTTCCATCTTCTACAATGTTCTTTTATAAAAATATATTAACTTAAGTTAAATGTGTGTACATATAATCCCTTTTTTCTTTTTTCTTTTTATCCTTCTTAAATGATAAAATTAATTCCCATATCAATTACAAACCAAATAACGTGTGCTATCCAATTAAGAATAGCTGAAGAGACACAACTTGTCTGTTGTTTGACTTTATCCGTATTATTATAATAATGGTTCCATTATGACATGTCTTGAAAGAGAGAAGGTTCTTTTTAGTTTCCTCTTTCAAACAATTTTGGATCCTCTTATCTCTTCTGGAATTTATGTCTTGTGCTGTAAAATTATGTGATTGTTAAATACGTATAGAATAAGGCTGTTGGTATATGATCTCCCCACAGCTAAACAAAGCCAACACTAATTGACTAATGATTATAACTCCAACATTTCAGTTCAATATTATTCAACTATTATATTTGATGTATAAGCCTACAAGGTATGAAAATACAATATATGACAAGAATAATTTAAAAGAAAAGAGAACACCAAAATAGCTCTTTATCCCAATGTTATTAAATCTGGTCGATTATTGACCCGGTTGAGGTACTAGGTCATTGGTTCAATCAGTAGATCACTAAATTTAACCGCATGATCCAGTAAGTATATGTAAATCTATAATTTATATTAAAAAATTATAAATATACTTAAATACCTGTAAAAAAATATATCAATTTCAAATATTTAAAAAATTAATAATAAATTACACATCATTGTCCAACAAAAGAGTAATCAAACATATAATATTTGTGATACTGATGTTTCAAGTTCAGTAAACGACATCTCTAACTATAAATCAAATCAAAATTCTCTGCATATTACATAACCAAGATAAATATTAGTGTTGTAGGTACATAATCTAAGTATAAGCTACAAATCACTCAAATAATTCAAAAGAAAACAAATCATTTGTGTTTGAGAGTAAAAAAAGAAAGAGATTAATTGATGAGAATAAATTATTTTTTTATTTTTATTTTTTACAAACTCGGCCGGGTCATTGATTTTTATGGAAATCGGTCGGGTCGTACCGGGTCACACCGATTCTGTAACATGGCCGGTCCAATATGAAAACCGAATCAATTACATGACCGGTTCAACGATTTTCGGGTCAACTCGGCCGGGTCGATCCGGTTTTTATAACACTGGTATATCCAAAACCCTACATTAACAAATTTTCTATATCATGTTATTTATCTTTTATTAATAATTTAATTTTTTAATGAATGTTTATGAAAGTTAAAAATTAAATAATAATTATAAAAAACAAATCATGCTTATTGACCCAAGTTGAATAGGCATCACTCTAATATTAAATCCTAAATTATCAACATGATCCATCCTGGCATGGACTCCAATATTGTTTTGAAAAAGTCCACAGCTAATATAAATTTAAAAGGAGACGGCAATATATTTAATGCATAAATAACAAACAATGTGAAATATGGTAAGCTTAAGTTTTGACCACCAAAAAATAATTAACTTTCAATACCAAAAGTAATAAAAAAAAGTGTTAAAACATTTATTTAAAAAGATTCATATAAACATTCATCTCATATATCCCTACATCAATAATAAAAATGACACAAATTTAATTCCTCAATCTTATGTAAAATCCCTTTCATTCATAAATTTAATAAAAGGGATAAAATGACATAACTTTATATGTGTAAAATTCACTAAAAATTACTTAAGATATAAGTTAATAATTAATAATTATTTTTTTAATAGTGTCATTAAATATATATCAAAGTAATTTATTTATTTTTGGATAGAAGTTGTTAAGATAGTTTTATGTATATTATATGGGATAGATTTTTCTCTCTACTCCTTAATCTGCCTATATTGCCTACGCTCTCAACATCATTATATTACAATCTCATCCAATGTGGAGATTTGAGATTTGTAAGATAAAATAAATCATTTTATTCCTTTCTTTCTCTTCTGTCTCTCATCTTTTCTCTCTTCTCTCCTGCTCCAAATCTTGTTGCCTTGAGCAGGTCCTCCCTCATTGATCTTCACGATAACATCTCCGGTCATCAAATATGGGTGGTGGTGGTGGATTCTTGATGTGGAGGATTGGAAACTGCTTGTGCTTGGAATCTGGGTTTCCGGTTACGAAAAACCTTATGGAATGTTTGTTGTAAGAACCATAAGATTTCAATGATTTCTTGATAGATTGCATCAAGCTCAGGAGAAATATATTTTTAGATTACAATTAAAATTAAAATGGGATGGGGGTGTTAGTATTTGGTGATCAGGAAAAAAAAATAATGCCTTTTTGAGTTTTGAAAATTTGAGATGGGAAGGGTCTTTCTCGGACAATTTGATGATTCGTGTGTTTGATTTAGTTGTCTCTCGGTGAAGTTGAACTCCAAAGACTCTCTTATAAGGAGGAGAGAGAAAATATGGGCAAAGGGGAGAGTAAGGAATAAAAGAATTTCTTTTATTTTGCAAATCTTTCATCGTTGATATTATAATTTAACGGTATTGAGAAGAGTAGGCAAAGTAGACAAATTAAGGAGTAGGCAGAATAACCTATCGCATATTATATTGCTACAGATATTGTTAAATTTACATTGTTAACAGTATCGGATAAAACAAAACCAAGCAAAGAGAAGACGAATTTGAATGCACAGAATCATTGGTGAATGATATAATAAAAATTGTCAGGTATTGAAAAAGAAAGTCTCATATGTGAGACATACGAGACTGACTTGGATGTCATATGACATGCATGTGGGATTGCATAAAAAAAATTGGTCCCGTAATGGATCCCTACGGGATTGTATGAAAGAAGCTGACATGAACACTAATTCCGTAATGAATACTTAGGAGATTGATCTGTATCTGTCACTTATGAAACTGGCTGCATTATTATAACAAAACATATCAAATGTGCTGGACAAATATTTTAACAAACGTTCTTATCATGGTATTTTCGCCCCACGCACAAAACATGCACTGTGCACGCTGTTTTAATATTGCTTCTGTAGCACCGTGCATGGAAGAGTGTCAATTGCTTCTAACAGGGAATCAATCTTTCTAATGGCAGCATCTATGCTAACAGATTTTTCTTATGCTTTATCATCATACATGAAAAGTATGAATTTCAACAACCTCTGATTTGATGATTGTTTCATACATAAAAACTAGTCAATATATTAAGTTTAGATTCCAAAGTTACAGCTTCACAATTAAACTGGTTTGTAAGATAATAAAAATCAGGATGAATATTTTCTTAAACAATGGATTTCGAAACTAGTGTGACAAATTGAACATTATCTTTCTCATACTTGTCTTCCATCCATCTTAATTTTTTTTTTTAAACAAGTTTTAATGCAAAAAACAAAACTGCAGCATGCCCTCACAAGGTTCCGAGTTGAAGTTGTTGCATCTCTCACGCCAATCCAAATTTCCAATGCTTCATCATACATCACATTCACTTGTTGACAAAGTACCAATATGGGAGCTAATGAAGCCTTTAATTTATTTAATAAAATTAATATAATACACATTGTACACAAAATGATGCACATTGCAAGTATTATGCACACCTTCTCCCAATATAACTCATGTGCACGCACACTGGGACAGTGCAAAGAAATCTTTCACGCCTCCTCAAAAAAGTATTTATTCAAATAAAATAAAATTTATTAAGCATTAAATTAGAAAAGTTAAAAGCTCTAATCTATAACAAATAAACAAGTTTCAATCAGGGATGTCACTTCGAAGAAAGCTTTACTATTATAGCATCCTTAACCTGAAATTACATTAACAATTAGTAAAAATAAATAAATAAATAAAATAAAATGTATATATTAAAATATAATATTAATCTCTACCAAATATATATATATATATATATAATATTAATAAATTATGAAAAAAAGTGAGGTTTTATTGGTCTTGTAATGGTGCCGCCCTTGTCTTAATCCATGGTCAACATCTTGTTACCAAACTAAGGAACCCCACATATAAAATGATTTTTTTTTTTTTTTAAAAACAACCAATATTTAAAGCTTTTTGTATTTTGCAACAACAGTT